AAGACTTTAAGAACAACAACAACAACAACAAGAATACATTATTTCTCATTTATTCTCTTAACTATTTAACAAGGTAAGATTGCATAAAACAATAATTCTAATACTGTATTATTGGGCTTATATATAAATGTTAATATCTATGATAAGAAAAAGTTATTAGAAAACCAAATGATATATCTAGGAAGACACAGAAAGATACTTGATACCATGTGCAACAGTAGCCAGATTCCAGGACAGTTACAATTCTTGTGCTATAACTGCTATAATTCAGGTCTTTCTGAGAATTCAGACTCATTAAAAAATGATAAAATTCAGGTAAAGTGTAAAACTTGCCTTGTTTTACTAACTTATTATACCTATTTCTTGGGTATCAGTTTGTTGTTGTTGTTGTTATGTGCCGTTGAGTCAAACCCGACTCATAGTGACCCCTCCTTGGGTTTCCGAGGCAGTATCACTACGGAAGTAGGATTGCCCAACCTTCCCTCCGGGGAGTGGCTGGTGGGTTTGAAACCGCCAGCCGTCTGGTTAGCAGGGAAGTGTCTTAGCCACTATGCTACCAGAGCTCCCGGGTATCAGTTTACTTAACATATATTTTTTTCTATGGAGATTTGTGAAAACAGTAGACAGAAAATCAGCAAGGATATGCAAAAACTGAATGATTTCATCAACCAATGGACTCTAATTGACATTTATAAGAACATTCTACTCAATAACAATAGCAATAACAATACTCAATGGCAAGGATTATAAGAATGGCACAGGACCAGGCAGTATTTCCTTCTGTTGTATGTAGGGTCACTAAGAGTTGGAGCCTAACAACAACAATAACTACTCAATAACAACAAAATAATAAGAATACACATGATTTTGAAGTGCACATATGCAGCAAGATAGATAATATCTTGTGCCATAAAACAAAACTCAATAAATTTAAAAGAATTGAAACCATACAAAGTATGTTCTCTGACTATATAATAGTGTTAAAGTAGAAATTAGTAACAAAAAGATAACTGGAAAATCTCCAAATACTTGGAAATTAAATTATTATTATTATTTTTTTTATTAGGATTTGGGTGAAGATTTACAGAGTAAATTCACTTTTCATACAGCAGTTCACATATACTTTGTCTCATGTCATTGAC